TATACATACCTCAGTCAGGCACAATGTGGGTGAAGTGACTGAGGCATACAGATAGGAATGGCTGGACTATATAGGTGATCAGGAAATGACAGGAGATGTAAGTATATATAAGGCAAATAGAGTGAGTGATCAAAAAGTAAAATAAGATGAAACATATGGATATCCTCCAACATAAGTGACATATGACCTGAACACATGATAAACAGATGCTGTATCATTTTTGTACAGTCACATCTGAGTTCACTATATGCATTTATATGGCTTTGTGTCTCAAGGCTATTATAAGTTAGGCTCAAGATAGAATGGTAGATGAATAAACTTTAGCTTGAAGCTGAGGTTGTATCAGCAAGAGCTGTCCTACTTATATACTACAAGTCTATCAGAATAAATATACTACTACTTATTATGTCTGTCTAAGTCATTGTGTTTGTTGTCCTTAAACATCACTACTATCTACAATAGGGCTGTTGTGTATCATTAAGCATTATCATCACATCAAAAGACAATGACAGACTTGGCTTGTTGTGATGACTAAGCCAGTCTCACAGTCCTAAGTGCTGATGTAGATGCTCTGACTAAGTATAAATAGGGGTTAATTGAAGAAAGAAATAGAAAAATTATAATATCAACACTCATACTAAAACTGTACACCAGTGTGACACCCCTCTAATAGAACCAGCTACACAGACCACCTATAGGTCAATACCCTTTGACTGAGAGTGCCATACCATCCTGACAACTCTACAAAGCTTGCATATGACAATACTGAACTTATAAATTTGTGAAATATTACCTTGTCTTACTTCATTCTCAAAAAAAAAATATGAAAGAGATCTGTTGTCCTTATGTGTCATCCTCACACTGTCTAGACCTAACAAAAGACTTTGAAAAGGAACTGGAAAACACTAGCCATTTCTTTAGATCCCACTGAGACCACATATAGGTTGCACCATCCATTACCCAGATCCTTATGTGACATTTCCATTATAGGAAAGTTTGCATACATACTGTGAGTCACTGTAAACAATTCAGAGTCTCATATTCATGTAGCTACTTCTTGCTACATCCCTTTGGAGATTAGTCATCATACAGAGATGCATGACTAGACTTGCTTGACCAGCCTTCAGATTCTGTGCCTTGGTTTCACTTACTGAATAGGTTTTGTGTTTTCTGCCCACAGGGAGTCTGCTAGACAAACAATTTCTGGTTCATCAATGCATCACAAAGTATTACCTAAGGAAGCCCATCTTAGGTGGCAGCTATTGGCATATAAATGCAGCTTGCAGGCTACAAACTTGTCAGAGCTGCATTCCTAGATTTGACTCACAGATGCTCAGCAAACAATATCTCAAAAGTGCATAAACATAAATACTCCTTTCCACTATTTGTTGCCTTTCAGTGCTTAGCAATCTTTATCTAATTTTTGGGCAGTCTGTCCACCATGGTCAAAGACCTGACAATTGAACAGTGTGCAGTCAATCTCTTGTCCAACTCAGATGACAGTGTGATATACTGGAACTTCATTCAACCAGAGTCTCTTAGTGTCATGTTGGATGCAAGACTAGGTTTTCTTCTCTAAAATGAGTCTCTGCTCAACTTTTCTCATTTGAAAGAGGCAAAGGCCTGAAATATAGAAATTCACCTCCTCAACAAACTTTCCTGTCTCAATCCTCAATTAGTCATTGCAGGTATCACTACTCCTGGCTTGAAATCAAACAATGTTGCACATTCCTAATGCTTCCTCATACAATAACATTTTAATCACCTTCAACAGCACCTTTCAAGCTTCTTACCATCAGAAAATTAGATCTGTCCCTCCTTGCATTTGTACAGAGAACCACACCTCTCTCCAATCTCTTCTAATTAGAAAATCCCAACTTGGAAGAGCTGGATCTCAATTTTGTCACCACTGAGACTATGAGTTTGAGACATTGGCATTGGCACCATCATCATGTGTTATACTGATGAGATGAACTTGAATGGTCCAGTGATCAGTTATTCTGGTCACAAGTCCAACCCCAGCAAACTAAGCTTGCTAGTGGGATCTTGGATCTGTGTCTTTGATTGGTCTTTCAGGGTCCACCAAGCCTAATTGCAATGAAGCCTAATTAACAACAGCCACAGTGGTGACCCTGCACACCATATATATACAAAGCCACAACTAACACCTGGTCTCATGAATTTTCAACCCCTCCCTTAGAGAATACCCAATGTTCTCTGCCTTTCATCCCAAGAAACACTCCTGCATTGGGGAGCTCCCCATGGAGCTCCTAATCAAAATTCTCTCATATCTCTGAATTGATGACTTCAAAAAACTCAGCCTTGTCTTGTCTATATTTCACCCAATCTGCTTTCCAGAGATCCACCAGTCTCTATTGTTCCACTACTCCATCCACACTCCAATCCTGCCACATCACTTTCTGACTGTGATGAGCTGTAGACATCCCATTCCCTCTATTCAAAGCCTTACTTTCACTCAGATCAACTCCAATATAGATTCACACATGCTGTTGGCATGGTACACACTGGCAATGGTGGTTAAGATGCAGTCCACATCTGAACCACAGCTATATGTACCACTTTTATCTGGACTCCGGGAGCTCAGAATCCTCATGCTTGAGGATGTTTCCTTTCTGTGTTTAGCAGTCTTTGCCAAATTTCTGGGCAGTCTGTCCACTATGGTCAAAGATCTGACAATTGGAAAGTGTACAGTCAAGCTCTTGTCTGACTCAGATGACAGCGCAATGCACTGGAACTTCACTGACAAGAGGATTCAACTAGAGTCTCTTAGTGTCGCCTCAGATGCGCTACTAGAATTCCTTCTCCGAGACGAGTCTCCGGTCGACTTTTCTCATTTGAAAGAGGCAAAGACCAGAAATGCAGAAATTCACCTCCTCAACAAACTTTCCTGCCTTAGCCCTCAATTAGTCATTGCCGTTGTCACTGCCCTTGACCTGGAATCGAACAAAGGTGCATATTCTTACCGCTTCCTCATACAATAACATTTTAATCGCCTTCATCAGAACCTCTCAAGCTTCCTATCGTCAGAAAATTAGATTTGTCGCTCCTTACAATGGAACGGGGAACCATGTCCCTCGCCAACCTCTTCCAATTAGCAAACCCCAACTTGGAAGTATTGAACCTCACAATTCCCTTCGACTTTGTCACAAGCAAGACTAGTGGGTTGGAGGCGTTGGCATTGGCGTTGGCACTGTCGAGGCAACCAAAGTTAAAAATCGTGAATGTCGTGGTATGGGCATTGAGGAATAATTGGAAGTTTCAGAATGAGCCTGGCATCGAACAGCGGTGGAGTGCATTATTGGGTGTGCTGGAGAACAATGGCGTTAAGCTCACAATGGACACCGTTCATCGACGATTGGTCGTCTAAGCACTACTTTCAACCGTCAATTATGTACATGTTGTGGCCAAAATATGCGTAAACCGAAAAGCTTTTTGAAGCGGCAAAATGTAATCGAGATGAGGAAAAGCGAAACTCTCTGTTACCTCCGAAGATGATTAACTGTCAATCAGAATTCGCTTGAAAAGAAATATGAACAAGGGAAATGCGGGTGCAGCGTACATGCCTGGGGTATCGTGAAAAGTCCTTGAAGCGTTGCTCGACGGGGTGATGGAAGCTGGACTAGATGCTATTGACGTCAACCCTGAAGGGGACTTCAATGCTCCTGTGGTCATCGATGAGGTGGAGACTACAGACGTTGTAGCAGGGGCAATGTTATGGCTAAAACCCGAGTAATTAAAGTCTGTAGCCTGTCAGCAACTCCAAGCTTACCTGGCTTCGGCGTTATCTGGCTCAAACGAGCACGAACTTCCGAGCAGCGTTTCCGGATTGTAGAGAGGAAGCCCATCCGAAAAGGCCCATTGATTCGACAAGCAGTCGATGGTGAATCCCGGAGGAAGCGTGTTGTTGTTAAGCAGTGAATACACCTTTAGCACGCTCATCTGCGTAAGATCCTGTACAAACAGTCACTTATAAGTAGAGATGGGACAAATCAGAAGCTGACCTCTGACAGATCAGTCTTCGCATAGGTATCAGGGACACAAGTATCCTTGGATACTGCTTCCTCCCACGATCCGTTCCCGGTGGCTGCATTGATCCTCAGCGCTCCGGAGGCCGCGTGTGTAGACTGCTCATCCCACAGATTAGCACACTTCTCGCAAACGAAGACAAGAAATCCCGCACTTCGTGTATCCATGTTCGCTGACTACACACTCCGAAGAAGTGTATCTCCACGTTGTTCGTGTACGTATACGCATGAGCGCTGCTTCCCGGCATGACCATTACTGTCCCAATATATCTTCGAATACCGACAGGAACACGAGTCAGCGCATCGGTTGCATCGCCCAACGTGGCACTGCTGCACCGGCATATAGTATATGGCGAGCCACAATCAGCAAAGGTGACGTTGACTGCATCCATGGAAGCCGTGCATTCCTTTCCACTGCCTGTGTGCTTCATGCATGGAGAAGGTACAGAAGAGAGCGACGTGGTGTTGCTCTGAGGGCGGATGAGGTTGGGTATGTCAAATTTGAGACTGGATTCTTGAGCCGTGAGGTTCAGGGCGCGTTGGTACAGTTCGCCGTTCGCGAAGCCAACCAGCACAAAGGAAAGTAGGAGTGCATTAACGGGTAGCATTGGAGGAGGCCAAAGTTTCGAGGTGGTTGATGGGGCCGGCCGGACATCGTCGTTTATCATTGATAGGATGAAACAGAATAGTCGATGGTCGCGAGAGAGAATGATCAATATTGTGGTAGTTCCTCAATATTGAAATTGATCCCAAGTAACCCTTGAAACCTGTACGTATACGAGAAGCTGTTTTGTCATAAGTATGTTTGAAGGCTGGCTTGGATTTGGAGTCCAGCACTCCACTCCTACTCGCTCGAAGATAGGAGCCTTTCAAGTTCGAACTCGACAAAAGATATATTTGATAGAAAGCTTTTGTCGGGCTGACATATAAAGTTAGCCTTGACAGAACGTTGCAGAGTCAGTCAAGAACAACACATGGAACTAGAATTGGTTGCACAGCATCCAATCCGATGGCGGTGCAATACTGAAGGTTCACAACGTGGCAACGCTGAGTCGTTAGCAAGAAATTATTACAACTAGAAACCGGGTACCCCCTGCTGTTGTGCCATCGGGTATTATATCTTTGTGTCAGTGCATGGGTTATCCTCGGCGTTCAAATAACCTGCAAAATAAACAGTGAACTGCATATCCGAGTCATGAGCCCGGCATAAACGTCTCCGACTTCCGTGGCTCCCGCTATGCTACGGCCTTAAAGAAAGGAAGCTAAGCTTCAGTTATATAATGGACGACATGGAAGAGTAAGCGGTACCATCTAGTGATTTCTCCAGAACGCCTATTATGAGAAAGCGCCTTGAAGATGGAGGTAGGTGTTGAGGGAATTTCATAAAGGAAAGTCGGTCTTGATGCCTGTGGTACTATAAGTAGGTTAAATATAGACAATGTAACGGCTACATACCCTAGTCGCAGCGAGTTCGGCTTCTGTGCTAAATTGTACCAAGAGGTTGTAGGTTCGAAACTAACAATTGCTCCAGAATATTTTGCTGCCACAAGGCATCCGAGTTACCTATGCACTCCCGCGTATATACAGAGAGCCATGAAGAGGCGTGTACTGGCGTATAGAAGTCCATTGAATCTGTCATCGAGGTCATCGTCGAGGATCAAATCAAGCCCAACCCGAATATTCCACGTCTTACTCTCAGATATTGGTTTTCCTCCGTCCCACTAATTGAAGATGTCCGTATTATTGACCTAGTCGAGACATAAAATTAATAATTCGCCTACTAGAAAGTGTACACTAAGACGAAGAATGAGCAACCAATATGAAAGATAAGAGAACATATACTCACAAGAAACATAACCCTCACCTGCGATATACGAAGACGAAGTTAATCAATGTCAAACGCATCGCTTCGCCATCCTTCACCCGAAACAACCATATTTTCACGCTCAGCCGTCCTGCGTACCCATCCCTCCGGACTACCCTCCGACGCTAACATAGAATCCCGTTGATTCGCCACAATCTTGAAATGCGACGTCGACCTACTTGACGTCGACTTCGTCTCCTGCATCCTCTTCCGGAAAACCTGGGAGCCGTCATTTTCACGCACAGCTAAGAAGATGTGACATACCTCTTGTATAGCATCCACTTTTCCTTTTTTACCCTCTTCCTGCTCCTGCCTGACATTGACCAGCACTCCATCGACGTACTCGAGACCCGTCCGTATAGCGTCCCCGACCACCTTCTGAATCTGCTTCTTCACCACGCCCATGACGAAGGGCTTGACTGCCTTGTAGAAAAAGTCGTGTTTGGAGTCTCGCACGGAGAACTTCAGCGAATCCACTTTGACCTTGACCCTTTTGATGGTGAATGCCGATGTCGCGTCGGATTTTGGTGACGACACGAGGTGAACAGTAGCCTATAAGGAAATGTTACAAGTCGTAGCGACAACATGTTGATGAAACTCACTGTCAGCCCCTGTCCGCCTAACACAATATCGGCAACTCCAGAATCTTTCGCCTTGGGAATCCCAGCCTTTTTGTTGAAATAGATAGCTACGTCACGTAGGTCTGCCTGAATCTGAGCAAGCGTCAGTTTGATCTCATGCCTGTGAATAAGTTGAGCGAAAAGATCAAATATGACAATGAGCACTGACCGGCTCTCCTCTGTACCTTCTTGAATGGCACTGTACGGAGAGAACGACATGTAGTTGTGGGCCTCGATTGAAGCAATTGTAGGGAACAGATTGCGACCGCTGAGGGTGAGATTCTCGATGATAAGGTCAACAGCATCGTCCGTGTACTCGATTCTCGGAATGGGGACATAGCCAAGCTGAAAAGGGTCATTCAGAAAGATCATGGGGAGATAGCAAGGTTCAGACCTTCTCGACCAGCATCGGTATGACCGTTCTACGAATGTCGCCCCAAAGATCGCCCTTAAATGTCAACCCACCGTCCTCGGCAAAGAGAAGGTCCTTCATGAATTGGGTCCATCCACCAGCGAATTTCCGATTAATAGGATCGTCTCCAATCCCATTCAGCCAAGTACCGGCACCGTTGAATAGCCTATCAAAGTGCTCCGTGTACTTGCCATCCGATCCATAGAACACTTTGCCAGAGTCGGTCCACTTGCGGCCATCAGTCACAGACTGAGGTTCGAGGATATATCCAGGCTTGAGAAGCACGCTCCGTAACCACTCAGCACCCTCTCTGAACCACGCACGTAGTTCAGGGTCGCGGTGAGCATCGTCGGAGAGCGCATGGAAAGGGTCAATGATGAGATCCAGCGACAGGCCGTTGGCAAAGCGCTCCAAGATCGTGCGCAGTTCGGTCAGTGATGATTGAAGTTGCCTCTGAAACAACAATAAGGATCGGGGAAGAAAGAGAAACGGACGTAATTACATTTTTCATGGCTCCTCCAGCCTCCTTCGTGGCATCGGTTACGGCGTCTCGTTCATGGCTTGCGTATTCTTCAACGTAGTCCAGCAGCCAGCGCAAGGATTCTTGATAATCGCTGTGACTTTGACATTCGACTACCACCTACGCCAGTAAGCAAGCGAAATGATGTCCAACGCGAAACTACCTTCTTTGCCCTCCAGATCCACTGTTCCCTCCTTTCCTTCGGGAAATAATCCTCGCTCAGGAACTTCTTTCCGCTAGACAACTTTTCGGTCAGACGGTCCTTGTATTGTTGAGGAATCGCGTCCGAGAAACCGTTCTAGACGTGTCGTAAGTATATGACGACGCAATAGAGCGGGGCAACCCGAACCTTTACTTTTCCTATAATACCCGAGACCTTTGTCCCTTCTTGCGCGCTCGTGCTGGCTTTCGCGTTGATGGACCTCTTGACCTCTTCAGGATCAACGATGTCTGGCTGACCGTTCACGCCAGGAAGTCGGGTTTCCACCTTCTCCTCGTTGGAGACAAAATGGTCCCCAGGAGCACTCTCGTCAACGCCTTCAAGTTCCTCAGCACTGGGTGCAATGGCCTTAGCGGCTAGATCACGCCCGACGACGCTGAAATCCTTGATCAGTTTCCGGAACTCGGAATTAGTCAAAACCAAATTGACAAGCGTGCGCACATGGCGCGTAGCTGTGAGACCGTGTCAACCTCAGACTCAGAAGAAAGGCATGTGGACACGTACCGGTATCGGCGTCGTCTTTCGCCTTCTCCTTGTCAACGCGTCTAATGTCCTTTGCTTTGACATCCGGTATGTCCACGTCCCTCGTCCGCCATATCCAGTCTTGTATAAGCTCGTCGCCGTCCTTGTCGTGTATCATACTGCGCAGCGTTCTGATAATCTCTTGGATGTCGCCGGCGAGCTTCTGGCCGTCCTTCGATAGCGTAGAGGTCTGCACAGGTGGATGTTCGAACGCGTAGTTGATCCATAAATCGAGCTGTTTGTTCGTTGGCAGACGTGATTGCCGCAGAGCCTGAATTGTTCCATATAGCTTGATCTACGCGCAATATCAGTGCATACAACGTCTCACCTAGCAGGAAATGTACCTTTCGGTCGACGTCGGCATCCCTGGCAACCTTGTCGACGGGGTCGACGACACTACCCTTCTTGGGGTGCGTGCTGATGTCCTTGATAGTGGGAGGCAAAGACATGATGGAGATCTCAAACACGACTCCTCCTTTATATGTGGCGCGCTGATGAGGTCGATCCGTGATGACGATGTCGACGTCATCGGCAGCTTCCTAATATATGGAGGAATTAGATAAGATTGTAGCACAGACTCATCGTCGCGGGAGTCGACCAAAACATCCGTTATCCGTTGAAACGTTGACTCTTGAAGGTACTTTCGATTTTCGGCTACGTCCGCGGAAAGACAGGGTCTGGTCAGAAAAAGGCATTTCATCAATATGATTTACTACATGCATATTGCGGAATCAAGAAAAGCTTACTACAGGAAAATTGGAAAGCGTGAATCGGGACGTCGTCCTGGCACGTGCTTCCACGGGACAACGGGTGGGCCATCAGTCCTTCGCGAAGAGCTAAGCACCACAGATGAGGATGAAGTTTAGGAAAGAAAGACTAAGTGGAAATGTTCGTCATAGTGGTTGATCATTGGAAATGTAAATGTTATCGCAAACATTACATCAATTCAAATTGCAAAACGCACTGGTAAATGCAAGTTTGATTGGGGGGAGGCTGGCATTTGCCCAAGTTCCGAAAGTTCCTTATCATCATCCAGGTCCAAGCCTGGTGTTCGTTGCCGCTTCTGGTCATTCTCCTCCCAACGTACCTCAAAGTCCCTATGTCTTTATTTTTATCATCATTGATTACTATTTATTAGTGCTAAACTCAGTTCCATGCTACAAATTATTCCCAATGCTGGTCCGTCACTGAAACTTTGGAGTATGCAATATGTTGGAACCGTATCGCTAGGACCGAGAGAGAGAATGGAGAGTCGCTGGTGATAGTCGCGGGATCCAGCTACAGACAATCGGAGAACTACGGTAATCCTGCCCTAAATTACACCTAGGTAGGTATGTAGAATTACACGGTACGGTCCATCGAAGGGATGCCGGGCTTAGATAATGGTTCTTGAGGGACCAGACCATGCCCAACGCCCCCAATATAACTGTATGTTTGACGCTCCTAGATTTTACCGGCAATTGTCTGACGACGGACCCAATCAAATTCAGCGATGACCTCCGTTTCTTCTTTACCCAGGTTCAGATATCCTTTGCTGCAACGCAAAAATAGGCCCATATACTGGAATCCCATCTTGGAGATTTTGAGAATCTCACGAGATTCGACCGGAGATGCACGTATTCAATGACCTGCTTTTCTCAGAGAAACCTTTAAATATGCATGCACAAACGTCGGAGCGCACCGTGACTACGATTCACTCGATCCTCCCTCGGTGCCATGGACAATATCTCACAGCTCCAGGACATGGAGAGATATCTCCCTGTTGGGATAGCAATCCTGAGCGAGTACGAGAACGTACTCGAAGATACGATGCCAGTCAGTGGCAGCTGACTTGGATCGTGATCCGGACTTATTTAGTATCTCGTAGAAAGATCTCGAAGTAATACAAAATGTATTTAAGTAGAACGTTTCTCTCTCGAGAGGCTAATTCTAGTTCTCTGTTACATTACTCTGCTCTCTACTTACAACAGGTTATGGGCCCCGGCCATAACTGAACTTAC